GAGAACACACTATTCACTTCCAACCATATTCATCGTCATTATTACTCGTACAACTCTGATTACAAAAATTCACGAAATAAATTCGAAACCGAGAGACTTATATCGATAGTGCAAGGAGAACAAATCATGAACAAAATCAAAAGACGTGTCGAATTTTGAACATTAAGGCTTTTGGGCTTTTCGTAGCGATTTTTTTAGTGGTATTTAAGCATTCTCCAATCATCCACTTTTTTCACTCTTTCAGTTTTCGCCGTTTTTTATCTTGATTTTTCTCCCACAACCAAATGCGTGTATTATTTACTTATTGTATTCCAATTCAGATGTCGACGTAAAAATAATCAAATAGGAAACACAGCAGACTGGTACTGGCCCAGCAATCAAAATTCAACAACACCCGCGCTAGAGAAGAACGAGAAACAGAAGAGAAAAGAGAAGGAGAAAGAGTTCCAGCATCAGGCGAATAGACTGCAATCCATTCACGTAACGGTGATCTTGTAAGAGAGGCATGCCTAATATATGATATGTCTACTGGTGGCTCTACTACACTCTAATGATACCAAGTACAACACGAAAGCGCATTACGAGATATCAGGTATAAACTATATATATAATATATATATTTATATATATATATTATATTTAGACAGGCGTATGTAGGAATATATACTCACCAGATACAATATATACGGCAATGTCATGTAGGAAATATATAATCACCACAATTACATATCAAACAAAGGGGATGCAGGGAATATGATACTCACAAATACAATATAGACAAGTGTATGCAGGAATAATATAATACCAGATACAAATATAGCCAGATGTATGTAGGAATAGGATTACACACCAAATACTAATAATTGACAGGCTTATAAGTATTAAGTATAAGGTAGAAGTATAAGTACATCATATCAGCTCCTGGTAGATTCGCCTCCATATTAAAATACTTTATTATTCCTTAAGAAAAGATAACTTACTATTCTGGATTGGTGTAGGCAATCGACAAATATTTGGAAAATGCATTAATTGCCGTATAATTAATCACATAATATAATTGATAATATTGATAAATTATGATTATATTATACATTTATTTATTTATTGTATATATATATATATATTCATGACGTCATCGTGTGTTTCTCGTCTCTCGCAGGGCATACGGGAGCAGTGCCAGCAGGGAAAAGCAACCTAGTGGAGCACTTAGAAATGAAAACACCTTATCATTCTAACTATAGCGACACTAAATGGTACGCGATCAGATAGCTTCGAGCGGTATTAATTCTTAGAGATGGATCGGTAAATAATGAGTGGGATGGGGCAGAGAGAGGAAGAACAACAGAAAAGAGATGCAGGCAAGACGGTGAACAGAGAGAAAGTGAGTCCGATGGAATGAAGAGAGAGAAAAGATAGAAGAGAGAAAGAGTATGATGAGAAAGAGAGATTGAGAGAGAGACGAGCCGAGAGAAGAATAGAGGAAAGGGAAGAAAGCTAGCCGGAAATTAACAAGTGATAATAAATAACACATAAATATTTTAATAAATATAAATATTTATATATACAATACATTAACATAATACACCATCTGTATAACTTATATATAAATATGTGGACGTGTGGATTTTTTTACCTGGGTGTGTGTGCTTCATGCTTCAGTGAGGTAGAGGCACGAGGCTGATGAGCAAGCTGCTACAGTACGGTCCCGTAGTCGCTGGTCGTCAACGCCGTCAGTCCGTCTGCGAACTTCTTACGGAGGGGAATAGAGTCACGTGACGATAATTACAACCTAGCGAATACCACAGGAGTGAAGTGCCTAAAAATGTAACAGCAATACTATCAGAAAGGGGAAAGGAAGAAGTGCGCAGGGAATTACAATAGACCGAGACGTCTGACATGAAATAACGTGCTAAGGTAAACTATATAGCAGACTATTATTCGCAGGAGAGCATTGTATTAACCATAATGAAAAGTAATAAACTATTCAGTTAGGAAAAATTTTTAGAATTTATCAAGTGGGCGGTATATGTTCTTGAGCTAGATGCGAAGTAGCTAAACTAATGTGGAAAGAAATCTTGGATGGAGAGAGACTGTGTGGATGGAATTTTACTTTGACTCATGAAAGCTTTTGATAGTGCTGCCCATCAACGCTCATTACATAGATGGGAATGTACACGAAAATACCTTGGAACCATTAACTTCGTGGATCAGAGCTTTTCCTTACTAGGAGTAAACAACGAGTTAGTGGTGAATGGAGAGCATGTCGAGCTGGAAGGAAGGTGACAGTGTATTCCCCAGGTGCAGTTAGCTGCGGCCCGATCCTATTCGTCTTAGACATTAATGACTTGCCAGAGGTAGCGCAGGGGGTACGTCCATCTACTTGTTTCAAAGATCTCATAGGGGCTAATCAGGGACAGTCGGGGATTGTGAGCTTTTGCAAGATGACTTGTGACAAAATTGCAGAAGATGGACGGACTGCTTGCCGATGCTGTGTTTCCACCCGACAAGCGCAAGGTCATGCAAATAGGAAATAAGTCAAGGACTTGACAAATTTAACTACAAGGCTCAAGGGGACGGAACAAACTTGACCTCTGATAGTACTCTGGAAGAAGAAAAAATATTGGTGTTACCATTGACAACACAACTAGCTTCAATGATTAAACATATTACGGAAAAGGTTAACAAAGCTAATTGATCATGGGGCTGATAGTAAAGAGCACACTATGGATTAGAATACGATGGATGTTGGAAAATTATTAAAATATAAATTATACATGGTTTATGTACGCCTCACATGGCAGTCGAAAATCAAAAGAATAATGGGCTCCCATCTAAAGATAAAAAACAATAGAATGCAAATCGAAAATGGTCACGGAAAGGCGTGCAACCAAGCACATCCAAATGCATAAATGATTCAAGAAATTTCAACTACTATGATAGACTCTGACATATAGGCGAGTGTGAGGCAAGGTGACATGATTGAGATGTATTTAAATTAACTGACTGGTAAATATAATGCTGAAGTGTCTGAGTTCATTTAATAACAGCAGGTGAATCTGCGGTAACACGGAGATATGCACTACAACAAATCTACAAATCAGAACGAGATTGAACATCATTAATACTCATTTGTACATAGATCAGTGGATTTAGGGAACAAAGCTCTCCAGCTTAATAGTACCAAATCAGTCAGGTCCTTTGAGCCAGAGTAGACAAACATTGGCAGAACCAGCCCCCTTATACTTACGAGTTAGAGATCTCTCAAGCCACCAACCCTTACCACCGTGACATGAGAAAATTGTCGAGAAGCTGACAGTAGAGCATTCTTCGAGCGAGACATAGAGTCAGAGAGAATTTGTAAATCTGTTGAATCTGTGACATCTAGTGAAATCTATATAGTTTGTGCTCCGTTAACATACCCGATACAATAGCAGGGTAAGTGATATCACCTTACCATACCAAATAATAATAATAGTTTGTGTTTCCCAGTAGACATCACATCATATAATATAGTTGCTGTTCCCTATACAAATACCTATCATTAGTTGTGTCCGCCCTTTACAAAGATATAATATAGTTGTGTTCCCGTACATACCAAAACTATAATATAGTTGTCTGTTCCCCTTACATACCCATCATGATTCGTTGTAGTTCCCTTACATTACTTATACGTACACGCATATAGCATTCCTCCTAATTAGACTGACACATCACCTGATATAAGTACCCGGGTAACCAGCGTCCGAAGCCATCCTTCATCTACAGTCCGACACCCCCGGTGACGTCACCTTCGATGACAGGTGCATCTAACAAGTTCGTGACGTTACCATCATTAAGGGTGTCATTAACACGTGTGCGTCGAGCTTCCTTAGCAGCATGTCATTAACACGTGGTGACGTTCCATTATTACAGGAGTGTCAATTACAAGTGTGACGGCAGCTTCTTACAGCGTTCATTAACACGTGTGGACGTCCACCATGATTACAGGTGTCATTTAACACGTGTGGACGGCAGCTTCTTTACAGGTGTCATAATATAACAACCGTGGGACGTCACCATCATACTATGGTGTCATTAACAAGTTTGTGACGGCAGGCTTCTTTACAGGGTGTCAGTTAACCTGTGTGGACGTACCATCATTACACAGAGTGTCATTAACAGACGTGGGACGGCCAGCTTCTTTACAGGTGTCATTAACAACGTGTGACGTTCACCATCATTACAGTGTCATTAACACGTGTGACGGCAGTTCCTTAGAGATGTATAACACCGTTGGAACGTTGACCAATCATTACAAGGTGTCATTAACACGTTGACAGTTACCATATTACACGGTGTCATTATAAACAAGTGCGGACGCAGCTTCTTTACAGGTGTCAAATTAACACGTGTGACGTCACCATCATTACAGGTGTCATTAACACGTGTGACGTCAGCTTCTTTACAGGTGTCATAACACGGTGTGACGTCAGCTTGCCTTACAGAATGTCATTAACAGTGTTTGACGTTAGCTATCCTTACAGATGTCATTCAACACAACCATCGTGTGACGTTTACAGTCATTACAGGTGTCATTAACAAGTGTGACGGCAGCGCTTCATTTTACAGTGTCGATTAACACGTGTGACGTCACCATATATACAGGTGTCGATTAACACGAAATGTGAACGGAGGCAGCAACACGGGCGGCACGCACGTTCTACGGGGACACTGACGGTAGGCGGGGACCTTCAACATGCTGGTCACTCATCGTGGCGATGGAGACGACGGACGACGGAGAGCGGTCGAGTTCTGGGTTGCTGCTGAAACAGGTGTGCTGATTGAAATTCCTGAGCTTCTCTACGTCCTCTCGCTCTGCTCTGGCTGTCTCTCTCTCTTTTCTTTCTCTTTTCATCTCTCTCTCTCTTCTTTCTCTGCTCTCTTTTTCTCTTTCTCTCGCTCTCTCTCTCTCTTTCTTTCTCTCTCTCTATACTCTCCTTCTCTTGCTTCTCTCTCTCTCTCTTTCTCCTCTCTCTCATGTGGCCTCTCTCCCTTTCTCGCTGTCTCTCTCGGTTCTCTCTTTCTCTCTCTCTATTGTCTTACTCTGTCTCTCTCTCTTTCTTTCTCGCTCTCTCTTTCTCTCCTTCTCTCGCTCTCTCTCTCTTTCTTTCTCTCTCTCTATCTCTCCTTCTCTCGCGCGCTCTCTCTTTCTCTCTCTCTCTCTCTGTCGCCCTCTATCCCTCTCTCGCTTTCTCTCTCTCTCTCACTATCTGTCGGTCTCTTTATCTCTGTCTCTCTATCTCTCTGTCTATTGCTCTTCCTGCCTCTCTCTCTCTCTTTATTTTCTTTACTCTTTCTCTCTCTCTTTATTTCTTTATCTCTTTCTCTTTCTCACACTAAAATGCGAATTCTTTTGCTCTTACTGTAATTTGCTACCAAATGTCAGTAAAATGTACACTAATATAAAAAAGCACATCATTTAACCCGTTATCTCAATGCTATATGGTAATTAAACGTATGTTGTTTGATCGTTTTCGTTTCCAGTTGGGGTCTGGACTGGGGTGCGGGAGGCTACGCTCTAGTGAAGAAGATGGAGTGTAACATCTGCCAGGCAATATTCCAGCCTATCCTGCTGCAGTGAGCCTAGACCCACAATCGCTGCTCACGCCGCATCTCGCGTCGTCTCGCGAGAACAAAGATGGCGTCGACAATCATGCTAGGTCACGTGTAAATTAAAAATGCAAATGTTACAGTATAATGTGTAATGCGTGAATGTTATATCAACGACGATTTATATAATATGTATAATACACGAAAAATATGAAGTGTTTTATTTCATTCGCTCTCTAATCGTTTGTAACATAATTAATTAGTATTAATGAGTATTTATACGTATTTTTGAGTCACTATTGATAATTGTCTACTAATGAAGTACTAATTGAGTACTAATCGAGTACTGATTGAGTACTAATTGGATACTGATTTAGTACTAAGTAAGTACAAATCGAGAAATTATCCCATGCATTTTGATAGCTTCCCCACTATCATATATAACATCGATACAATTCCAGAGCAGACATGTAACAATGAAATGATGTAATGAAGAGAACAATGCGAGCAGAAACGCTTGCTCAGGCAGGAAGCAGAGAGTAAGGACTGAATCTCACCATACTGATTTAAAATTAAACTAAAAAAAATAACTATAAACACAACCAAGTAAGCAAGCGATCGTCCGCATCTGAAAACTATACATAATAAGACATATTATTGATACGCATTATTGATACATATAAGACAAATTATTGATAAGCATTATTGATACATATAAGACATATTATTGATACATATAAGACATTATTGATACATATTATTGCTATATATAAGACATATTATTGATACACATTATTGATACATATAAGATGTAGCTGTAACATATCACCGACTACGTAGCTGTAACATATCACCGACTATGTAGCTGTAACATATCACCGACTANCTGCTGCTACTGCTGCTGATGCTACTGTTGCTGCTGCTGCTGCTACTACTACTACTACTGCTGCTTTTGTTGCTACTACTGCTGCTACTGCTGCTGTTACTGGTGCTGCTGTTGCTACTGTTGCTGCTACTGCTACAACTACTACCCATGCATTTTGATAGCTTCCCCACTATCATATATAACATCAAGACAATTCCAGAGCAGACATGTAACAATGAAATGATTTAATGATGAAATGAAGAGAACAAAGCGAAGCGAGCAGAAACGCTCGCTCAGGCAGGAAGCAGAGAGTAATGACTGAATCTCACCATGCTAAATTAAAATTAAACTAAAAAAATTAACAAAACACAACCAAGTAAACAATCGATCGTCCGCATCTGAAAACTATACATAATGAGACATATTATTGATACATATAAGACATATTATTGATACACATGATTAATACATATAAGACATTATTGATACATATTATTGATACATATAAGACATATTATTGATACACATTATTGATACATATAAGACATATTATTGATACACATTATTGATACATATACGACATATTATTGTTGATACATATTATTGATACACATTATTGATATATATAAGACATATTATTGATACACATATAAGACATATTATTGACGCACACTTAACGAGATCTATACAGCCAGACCCATATCACCGACTATGTAGCTGTAAAATAACACCGACTATGTAGCTGTAAAATAACACCGACTATGTAGCTGTAACATATCACCGACTATGTAGCTGTAAAATATCACCGACTATGTAGCTGTAACATATCACCGACTTTGTAGCTGTAACATATATCACCGACTATGTATAGCTGTAACATATCACCGACTATGTAGCTGTAACATATCACCGACTATGTAGCTGTAACATATCACCGACTATGTAGCTGTAACATATCACCGACTATGTAGCTGTAACATATCACCGACTATGT